ACCGTACGAGGATAGAGCTCATGTCCAGTGCTCTTACCACAAAAACAGAGAAGAATGAAAAGAAAGAAGAATAAAAGGAAGGAAGGAAGGAAGGACGGGAGAGAGGGAAGAAAAAAGCCACAAAAAAACCACGAGGAAATTTCCGGCGCTGCTGGACATGCTGAGCACCCTGACGGTGGTGACGGTATCGTGGTGGACGCATCTGTCCACGCTCATCGAAGTGTACGCACTGAGTATGTGCAGTGCTCTGTACATCAGCATGCCTAACACAACAAAGCTAGGACATGGGGAGAAGACGTGCAGCCGATTCTTGTTACCCACCACAGTTAGGTTTTATCGCCGCGGCAAACACCCAGTTTGCAAACACTGAGCCGCTGCTGCAGGGAAGACGGGCTCCTGCCAGCCTCCGGACACAGCCCGGTTGTCACCCCGTGGATACAGAACCGCGTCTTAGGTGTGTTTCTGCGTAAAGACAGCTTACCGGATGCTGTTCTCCATTACCCCCGAACTGCCAGCCACCGGCGCCGTGCCCCACGTCTGAGAAGCTGCTCAGACACACGACCGCCCCCTGCACTCAACCACCAGCACTCGAGGGTCACTTTAAATTGCAAGATCACCATCAAAAAGCACAAAAATGCAAACAACAAGGCACGAAATACACTAGAAGAAGAGTGCTAATTTCCAGCGAAAAAGGGCTGGAACAGAGGGCAGAGCATCATCTCGTTTGACCTTGGCTAGAAACGTGCGCACCCGTGACTCCAGTCCTCAACCCCCCAACCCCCGCCCATACACAGGTGCAAATGCCCTTGAACACTCCCTGCACACTGGCTTTGGGGTTACAAACAAATTTTGCTAAGAGGTAAATTTGCAAGTGCAAAGCCGCGGATAATGAGGAATGACTGTTAGCAGTGTTTGATCAGCGTCTGTGCCTGAAGCCGGAAGGCCCTTCCAGGGACGTGAGCCGATAGAGTTCCTTTTCCACTCAAGCCAGCTGGGGTTGGTTTTCCGTCACTTGAACCCAAGCTGGCTGCTCAGCCACTTTTCTGTAAGCGTAGAGGTCTCTGGGGGCGCCTGGATGGCCCCTTTGGGGGAGCATCTGCCTTCGGCTCAGGTCATGGTCTCAGGGATCCTGGATCGAGCCCCACGTCGGGCTCCCTGCTCGGTGGGCAGCCTGCTTCTCCCTCTCCACCTCTCATCTCTGGGAGGAAGGCACCACCACCTGGTGACCCGCCCCTAGGACCCTCTAGAATCCCATGTCCTCAACGTTCCGATCACGCCTACGAACGGAGAGTCCCGTTGTCCCCAGGCGCTGGGGGACAGAGCCTCCAGGTTTACGAGCAGAGTTACTCAGCTTCAGATGCAGGTCCCTTTCAGCTCCTGCCAAGATAAGCCCTTGAGAGACATGGGGCTCTCACGAGCCATGACGAGAGCACCTCAGCCATGCCCACCTCAGCCCACTGCCCATCCAAGTCCTGGGGAAGGAACATGCTCGTTCCTGAGCGTCCGGGGCCGATGCCGCCCGTCTCCCCATGGGCCCTGCCAGCCAGCGAGCAGGCCCATGGGGTGGGGTGCCACGGGGCCCGTGGCCCGGGGCGTAGCTCTTCATCCTCCAGCTTCTCCTCCAGCTCCCCCCATTTCTTGAATCAGTGCATTCAATTCTACATGGGGGCCATGGGCAAGAGTGGAGAATGGGAGCTGGGAATTTCCTGGGTGGGGAGGAGGGGAAGGAGGGTCAGGAAGGGAGACTCAGAACAGGGCCTCGGGCTGCCTGCCCGGCTTCTTCTCTATCAGCACCATTGCTGTGGGTGAAGGCTCCACCCTCCCCGCCTGCATGAACCCCGGCAGACGGAGCCCGGCCCCCACCACCACAGGATGCCCCCCACGACACGTCATCCCCGCCTCTGCAGCAGGGACAGGTAACTCCACCAGTACCTCAGCCACAGACCTGTGACTCTGCGCAAGCACCCCTCCCCGGGGGCCCCGCCAGCGCAGGAGTGTGTGGGCCCGCCGCCATCACGGGGCGACTTGTCTCCTCCTGCCGAGCCTACTCAATGCCCCGCAAGCCAGCGCAGGCCACCTGCAGGTCCCACGGATGAGGCCCGGCCCCCTGCCCCACACCCTCCCACCCTGACCCCCACTGGGGGGGCCACGGCCCTGCCTGCCAGGCCTGCAATGAAGAGACAGGAGGTTGAGACTCCAGTCCAATGACCAGAGGCATCATGTCATCCCCGAGGTTTGTTATTCTGAGTTTTAGTACAGCTACGTGTTGGCTGGTCGGAGAGCCCAGCCCCTGCCCCCGTCCTGAGCGCCCGCGAAACCCGAAGCCCGTCCAAGCCGCAGCTCCCTGCTGCACTGAGCTCTTCCAAGCTCCCCACTGGGTCTACGAGCTTTTAGGTTGTATGTGCTGGGAATCACCTCACACCTCTGCAGCCCTGGGAGAACCAGTCCTCTCTTCCTCCCTGAGCACAGGAACCCCTCCCCAGCCTGCCCTGCTCCTCGTAAGAGGAGCTCAAGCGGAAGGAAGCTCAGAGGCCTTGCTGGTCACCGTCCAGCAGGTCTTCTGTCTTCTTCGGGGAATGCCTCCACTACCCGAGCTCTGGCGGCTGGGGCCACCGTCCAGGGCCCACCCCGAGGACACTCTGTCCAAATGGGGTTCACACTGTCCCTTTAAACTCTGCCATTAAAGCTTCCCATGGGCAGAAGGGTCCACTCCGCTCTAGTGAGTTAGTTAGCTAAACCCATGGCCAGAGCCTGACCTCCCCGTGACCATCACTCCCGCCGCCATCTGCCCCAGCCCGGGCTCCGGACTGGGTTTCACAAAGCCACCTCCTGTGGTCAGACACAGAAGTCTAGGGAAAGACGGCTCTTTACGGAAAAGGCGATTTTAGCTGTCAACAGCTAAATTCATTTATTTTCCTTTTCACGTCCCTCTGGAATGCTTAACTTTGTAAGGTGTCTTCCTTACAAATTTCTATATGGAGCTCTCTAATTCGGCTCAAGGCTGGGATAGCAGAGCGTGCCTGAGTCTGTTTTAGCGTCGTCGTTCGACCTACGCATGGAGCTCTGTGCCGGGCCAGGTGTCACGGTTACAGAGACACGAGGGGAGCACAGCACAGACCCCGTCCTCACACCCGAACCCCCCGCCCTCCCCCTCCTCTTAATACGTCACTGACGCCAATGCCGAGAACACTACCAGCATCTCCAGAAACAGCTGTACTCTGTCGCTTCTGGAAACTTTCAGCTCCGTCTCATCAGGAGTGTTATGGGCTGGACTGGGTCCCCTCAAAATCAGTATATTGAAGCCCTAACCCCCAGAACTTCAGAACGGGACTGCATTTGGAGATGGGGCCTTTAAGGAGATGATCCACGTTAAATAAAGCCATGAGAGTGGGGCCCTCATCTCCTGTGACTGGCGTCCTTACAGGAGGAGAGAGACATCAGGGGCGCCCGGCCACAAAGCAGACCTGTGAGGACGCAGCGAGCAGATGATGCCGAGAAGGCAAGGAGAGAGGCTCCGGAGAAACCAAACCCGCCAACATCTGGATCTTGGACTTCTAGAGTCCAAGACTGAGAGAAAATAAATTTCTGCTGTTCAGGCCACGTTCTGTGGTATGTCTTACGGCAGCCCGAGCAGACTCATACAATCAGCAAAGCACTGACTCATTCACCAGGCTTCAGCTGAACGCCTACTATGTGCAAAGCACTGAGGGAGGCTCTGTGGGCAGACACAGAAGTCAGTGCAGACCCAGCTGCTCTCGATATGGCAGGGGCCTGACAGCACAAATATATCCACCATACAGAGGAATGCAAATATTACAGCACAGTCAGCCCTACTCCAACACTTGTTCAGAAAATGCAAATGTGTTGTAATGTGAGCAATTGATGGGGGAAACAACCGGAGCATAATGTGAATTTTGTGTCTGCTTATGCGTGATTTTGTCCGCAAGAAGCGCTACACACGGAAAAGTGCACCCAGCCGAACGGAACCACACACACCTCGGACACCTGCCAGCCCCAGGTTGTCATGCGTTATGAGTCACCCCATCCGTATCTGCTGTCACAACTCTCTTTTGACGTCTAACTGCACAGGACTATCCTTGTACCACCACACAAAAACACACAAGGGGCAACCCTTCCAGGACTCACCTCCACGAGCAAATCTCACGCCAGCCTCAAGGTCCAGAGCCATAGTTATGCTTATATTTATGAATTTCTTAAGCATTTAATGTATAAAATTATGCTCCCATTTCTACTAGGCTCCTATTCTTGTTTTTCTCTGTCAGTGATTCATTCTTGACTGTGTGGTCCTAACCCATTTCTTCCCCATAAGCCCTGCAGTTTTTATTTCAAGAGTTTGTATACTGCAGTGATTGCCAGGAACATGCATGTTGCATTATAGCAAAACGGGCTTTATTTAAATGTTGCAATAAGGAACTCCACGGCAGCAAACTAAAGCCTAGGTAATAAACGACCATGATCAGGATCACACGTAAAGCAACACTTGAGGCATAAACCTTATCACAGAATATGTGGTTCTGGCTAATGTACCAATATCGCCTCCTAGTGACAACATCCCCTAATTGCAGGTAAAACACAGGAAAAAAAAATGAATTAAAAAAATTCATGTATTAAAAATGAATTTTTCAGGGGCGCCTGGGTGGCTCAGATGGTTAAGCGTCTGCCTTTGGCTCAGGTAATGATCTTAGGGCCCTGGGATCGAGCCCCGCATCGGGCTCCCTGCTTGGTGGGGTACCTGCTTCTCCCTCTCCTGTTCCCCCTATTTGTGCTCTCTCGCTCTCTCTGTCAAATAAATAAAATCTTTAAAAAAAAAAAAATGAATTTTTCAAAAGTTCCAGGGTAAATGAAGCCATTGCACAAGCCGAATCAAATATATGCCCTCACCTTTAGGCAACTTTTTCTGAGCTCCAGCTTCCTGATCTGTTTATTGAAAGACATTTCTGTCCAGGGTCAAACAGTCTCATGGAGGGAGCCACACTGACCTGTCATTGAGTTTTCTGAGGTGCACAGCTGCTCCCTCAGCTTCTCCACGTCGTCGGGATGCACCTGTTCATACAAGGTGCTCCCAAACCACTCTGACTGGGGCTGGTTCAGAACGGGGGTGACGGAGTCAGACACGTAAATCACTCGTCCTGTCTCTGCCGCGACTACAAACAGAAATCCATCGGCTGCTTCGAGGATGAGGTGCTTCAGTTCCTGGGAAGAAAAGATCGAGATGAGGACAGAGCACGGACAAATCCAGTCTAATTAAATTTTCATATCAGCAACCTTCAACTTTTATTCCCTCACTGTGACACAAAAATAGTTTTAGAAACTCTGATTTTTATAATTGAAAAATAAGCTTAAAATGCACAAAGCTTGTCCTAGCTCTAAGATTCAGCTACTGTAAACACTGTTGGTCCTGATTTAACCAGCCCTCTCTTAGGGAGAGAGGAAACTTCCAGCCCAGCAGGGATGGAAAGCAAGGAGTGATCACCAGAATGTGCCGGGCTGCCAGGTGTGAACAGCCTCACCTACATCTTCAAACTGCACAAGAAAGGCCCAGCACACAGTGCTCGGTACAAAAGGTGGCAGGAAGGGAAGGGGAAGAGAGATTGGAGAGCGAGGACAGTCTCCCAGCCACTGCCCCACGATGGTGGTGCACGCCCGCCGCCTCTTGTCCTGAACTCCCAGCTGAATGCTGGCAGTGGATACAAGAGTCTCTCTTCACATCAGCACATCTGTCAAACGTCCAGAACTCCTGGACAGACAGAGCAATGCTGGGAGGCAGCCCGGCACAGCCCATTGTCCGTATCACTTTATAGTGAGAAGAGAGGTTAGTGGCCCCAGCCCTGGGGTCACATTGACTCACCAGGCTCATGACTATCAGAAAAGGCAGGAAGAAAGCGGCTTGGAATCAATGAATGGGCAGCAGGAAGCCCTGCCATCATCCCCAGAGGCGTGTGAATGGAGCCAAGTCAGCTTTGTTAAAAGATGTCTTTTCTTTGCCTGAATGCAGCTCAAGTGTGGCTGCCTACTGCGTCCTTCTCACATCAAGCTCAACGCAATGGGCTCCGTTCCTCGGGCCTGAGGCGCTAATGCCCCCGCCCCCGCATGCCCCTGCGCCCACAGGTGTGTCTCCAGACACCCCTTACTGTGTCTCCAGACACCCCTTCCGCGGACGACATTCCGAAGAACAAAGGTCAGCAGTCGGCAAACACTCCTTGCTGGGAATCCTTTGTTCAGATGTCACCTGGCACAGAAGCCTCAGGGGAACACCAATTATGCACCAGCTGCACACATGCAAAAGGTGGGACCCTGACGCCACTGGCCCGGCCCCAGGGCGCTCCAAGGACCCAAAGATCAGAAAACGGGGGTCTGCTGCTCGTGAGCAGAATCTGGGGGGCTCTGAGCCCTTGGCCGGGTCAGAATCCTTACATCCTCTGCCTGGGAACCTACGGGGGAAGGAGACTATACAGCATTGTCTAAGGAAAAGTTTATTTTGTCCATTTCCCTTGCTTTGCACTTCTGCTGATCCGTGTCTCCGGGCCGCTCCCTTAGCTCAGAGAATGGGTCAGCGGTTTTATTTTCAGTGTCGGAAGAGCTTCCAACAGGAAGGACTAAAACACGGAGCAGGATGTCTGGGAAAGCTGCAGGATGGGGGCAGAGGCTGAGGACTGTGGGAAGGTTTACGGGACGGAGCCTCACCTTCATCATGGCCCCTCTGTCCACCTCCCCCACCCCCACCCCCACCCCCAGGTTTGTCTTCTGGGAGACTGTCACTCGTGATCAAGGTCCCGAGCCTCTGCTCTCTGGTTAAACCAACAGGAAGGCTTGCGAGCGTGGGTTCTGGAGGAAAAGAAGGCTCTCATCCACAGCTCTTAGCCATGCACCTCTGGGGATGTTACCGTCCTCAGCTTCCGTTTCTTCCCATGGTTCTTCTCAGTGGGATTTTGTGAGGTTAAATGAGGTCTTGTCAACTATCATATGATTTCACTCATATGTGGAATTTAAGAAACAAAACAGGATCATAGGGGAACAGAGGGAAAAATAACACAAGATGAAATCAGAGAGGAAGACAAACCATAAGGGACTCTTAACTCTAGGAAACAAACTGTGGGTTGCTGGAGGGGAGGGGAGTGGAGGGATGGGGTAACTGGGGGATGGGCATTAAGGAGGGCATGTGATGGAATGAGCACGGGGTGTTGTATGTATCTGATGAATCACTAAATCCTACCCCTGAAACTAATAATACACTATATGTTAATTAATTGAATTTACATAAAATTCAATTCAATTAACAAAATAAAAATAAATGAGGTCTTATGTGTGGAGGCTTGGCAAGGGCTTGGCACACAGTCGGTGCTTAATAGATGCAGCTGCTGTTAACATCAACCACGTGCCAAGGAACCAGGGGAGAAATATGGGCTGGACGCGTGGGATGCGCATGACTGCCTTCTTCCTCACTTCCTAATCCTCAGCCATAAGAACGAGGAGCTTCATTTCAAACATGGACCCGGAAGGATTTTTGTGAATTATGAGCAGATAAAAAGCCTTGTTCTTACCCCAGTGGCTAGGGGGCACGTAACATGTTTCTGTCCCCCCTTGATTACACTGTGCTCAGTAAGCCCCACAACTACAGGAGGTGGGGGCGACCCCTGCGTCCCCTACGGAGGGGGAGACGGGGCTGGGCGCCAAGCTCCCGGTCCTCCCGGTCGCAGCCATGGCACAGCCACACCTCCTCAGCCCTGCAAGGTGAGGCACCCCATGGCCCCCAGGATGGCGGAAGAGGACGCCTCTGCCAGAGGGCAGGCAGTCGCCCGTGTCCGCTCCTTCTCCTTGTCCTTTTTCCGAACCTCACCCCCGACTCCAACAGGTCCCAGCTCCAGCAGAACGGACAGTTCTGTCTCCAGACTCGCCTTTTGCTCCTGCCTCCCCCGAGGCCCTGCCTTCACGTTCCCCCCGTGTCAAGCCCCCGCTCCCCATCTCTCTGGGCACGCTCTGGGGCCCCCTCAGAGCCCAGTGATGCTGGGGAGCCCTGGGGACGAAATCCTCCCTCACGTGGGGCTCTGCCCCTCCTGCACCCCCAGAGCACGTTGTCCCACGACCGCTTCACGGCCCGTCCCCCCGCCCACCACCACACACCAAGGACTTCCAGATCCATCCTTCTGTTCATCCTGCAAAGCCCTCAGGGTCAGGGAGGCCCAGAGCCCCGTTCCTTTCAGAGATGAGCCAACCGAAGCTGACAGCGTCTGTGGGTTTGCCCTCCGCGTGGCGCCCAGAAGGGCCGAGCACAGAGCACAGGCCTTGGGTTCACGCAGTGGTTTGTACAATCTGTAAAATACGACCCCCGCCCCCAGCCATGGGGCGTCTTTGCTCTTCCCGACCCTTCAAGCCCCGTCCACCTGTGAGAAGGGTGACTCCGGGGCCCAACCCACCTGCGCCGGCTCCCGGCCCGGCCGCCGAGCCGTCCGTGGACACTCTCCAGGCCAACAGCGGACCCTCTCTAAGCCACAGCTTCCTTGTCTACACGGCAGGGACCAATACTTGGAGTACGTGCAAAAACGCACGGAGACGGAGGACCCCGGCCCGGCCCAGAGCACCGGCCAGCGGAGCGCCCGCCATGCTGATCCTGTCACAGTGATCACCACGGCCGTCCCAAACTGCCATCGGCCTGGCGTCAGCACCACCGCCCACAGAACGTGCGTCACACGGACCAGCTCCGTGTCCCACACGGCGCACAGTGAGGCTCACGAAGGTTTACGGGACACGTAAAAGCAGAAGGCTCAAAGTTCACGCAAACACTGCCGTGATGAAAGGAAGTGAAATTTCCTGACCTCACCCGTTCCTCAACCTGCCCCTCTTCCCCGCGTCGCTTCGCTCACCCCGGGGACAGCTACTCTGTCCCCTTCCCACAGTGACGCCGCCAGCCGAGGAAGGCCCGCGCGCAGGAGACCGCGGTACCTGCTCCGTCAGGAAGGAAGGCTTGTAGGCGCCGTCCGTGGACTTGTTGCCGGTGCCCCTCATGGACTTCATGTGTGACACGGCCATGCGGAGGATGGTGAGCTTGTCCGGCTTGCGGGCCAGCGCGCTGCACGTGGGCACCATGTCCGACAGCTCCGTGATGTACTGCGTCATCTTGTTCCGCCGCCGCCTCTCGATCTCGCTGTGGTTCTCTCTTCCCGAAAGCACAAGAGCAGGGCGGGGGGAAAGAGACGCGTCAGATCGGGGGTCACCATCGAACAGGACAAAACAGGGCACATCCGTGGGCGTCAAGGGACCGAGAGCCACAGCGCCTCCTAGCGGCTGGTGCTCTGCACGCTCGCGGGCGCGGCGGCTCTCAGACGCCCTGGTCGGCCTTGGTCTCTGCGCGGGGGGCACACAGGCCGCTACGGGGGACCCGTCTCCCCTGGAAATGTGTCCCGAACCTTCCCACCACTCCCACGCACACAAGTGTGCTTCTCTAAGCACGGACAGTTCAGGCCGCGAGAGGTGAACCAACAGGGCTCCGTCCGCACACCGGGATCTGCGCGTGGCGGGCGTGTTCGCACACGCCTGCTCGCTCATGGAGTCACGGTCCGCGGGGATGTGTGCCTTCCTCCGGCCCTCGCGTGAGAAGCACCGCGTGGCCTCGCCACCCTTCCATCACTAAGTGGGCGGCAATGCCACAGGCAGACCTCTGCTCTAGGCCCCGCACACCCACTGCCGAGAACAGGTGCACCCCTGGCTTATTCAGCCCGACTGGCCAATTAAAATCTAAGCAGCACCGTGAGGGATTACTGAATTCAATCTCTGATGTGTTAAGATGAAAAACTAGCAGAAAGGACGGTCGAATGTTTGCATCTTGGTATTATTACCTTTAGGATGAAAGAGAGTAAGAGCCAACTCAGCTTCACAACCCTGGCAGGAAGCTGTTACTGGGGTTTAAAGAACAGGGTCTGGAAAGACACGAGACGTCTGCGGCAGGATTTAGGGCTTCACCGGGGCTCCGAGCAGGAGGGACACGGACCGCACACAAGGAACAACATGGATGAGGCTGCCTGCCCGCCCCGCGTGTACCGAGTCGGCTGAACACCCACCCTCCCAACCGGGCAACAGATGGGCCATCAGGCACAACCCCACGCCTGCCCCAGCCGCGCACACTGAGGGCCCCTGCCCGCGCCAGCAGGGGAAGGCTGGCCCGCAGCAGAGCTCATGGTGCTGGGGCGAGCTGACCCCGGCAGCCCGGCGGGCACCTTCCCCCTCCGTCCAAGGAGTGCTGAGCCAGGCACCGTGGGGAGGGGACGAGAGGAGACAAGATCGCCCACTCCTGTCCTCTGGCAGCTGGGGGGTTAGCCAGGAGGGTGAGGCAGCGCCTTGCACAGTGGAAATGAAGCCTGGAGAGAGCTAAATGCTGTGAAAGGCACGTGGAGCATAAAAACCACGGGGTAGAAGGAGAAAGGACAGAGGCGGCTGCCCAGGGGGCCACAGCTCTGGAGAGGCGGGCCGCGACCTGGCAGCGGGACCAGCAGGTGTATTCTGGGAGGAGACCAGCAGGGTCAGAAAGGCGCAGGCGGCCGGATGGAGGGCAGGCTCAGCCTGGGAAGCAGCGAGGAATGGGGAGCACGAGAAGTGGGGGTGCTGCCCGATCCCGGAGGGAAAGCTGGGAGAACCGCGAGCTGACAGCTGAGCCCCAGGAGTGCCACAAACTCCCGGAGGTGGCGCCAGGGCCCCGCTCCTCGGGGCAAACACCATGCAGGGAAGGACGCCCACCATTCGGGAGACACGGCTCTCGGGTGATTGGCTAGGGCTTGCTTACTGTGGGGAGACGGGAGGCAGCCACAGGAAGGAGGTGGGGGCAATCACGGAGAAAGGGGGCACTCGGTCAAGGCATTCCCGCGTGCTCTAAGGAATGCCTGCTCCTTCCCTGGAAGAGCCTCTCCACCGTTCCAAAGTGGGTAAAGAAGTCGCCCCCTCCCTGTTTATATAGCAGCTTCCACTCCCCAGGGCCTCGGCGATCACCGCATCTGACCACCCCCCCAACCACCCTCTGTGGAAGAGGGGCCTGAGACTCAGAGAGGTGCTGACTTGGCAGGACCTGAGCCAGGCTCCTCAATGGCGTGCTCCCTGGTCCTGGATCTGGAGCCAGAATGCCCCTGCCTGAGAGGCAAAGACAGCTAAGGCATCAAGGGGGAGGGAAATGCCTGGCAGCCTCCAGAGAGACACAGCTCAGGACAACTGATGACCCCAGAGATGATTTCCTCCCCAACAAAGTCCTGCTGTTATCCGGACACTGTCACTGCAAGTCAAGCTTCATCTCTGCAGGACAGAAGCCGAGGAGGGGGCAGCCAGACAAGGTGAGAAAGGCACCAAAACCACATCAAGCACACGAGCGTCAAACATCTCTACGAAGAGCAGACCGGCCCCCATCGGCCTGAGGAGAGACAGCGGGCTCCACCGGAAACAGATTTCATTCCAAAGCATCTTGACCCTAATCCTAACCCCAACCCACTGAAACCAACCTCCCAACCAAACTCCCTGCTCATCTGGTTGCTTGTGGGCCCCTCTCTGCCAAGGTCAACCCAGCTTATCTGCAACACCCTTCTGGTTCATTAGACCCAAGGAAGCTGAGGCACAGAGAAGTCTAGAAAGTCTGGGAATGTTCCTCTTGGGTCTGCTGAATCTCTCCCTGCTGTCAAGGGAGCTCACATGGCCAAGGCACGTGTACCAGACGGGGTGGCCGGTCAGATGACAGAGGACAACCCTTGCTGCTTCCTGGCCATCCTCCCTGCCTCAGAAGTACTTTGAGCATCTTCCCACCTAGAAACGAGATACCCAGCTTTCTCAGCTTAGACAATGCACAGTCTAAGAATTATGGGAAACAACAACACTCCACTTTGTCGGCCAGGAAAGACCTCTGCAGGACGCGCCCACCACGCAAATTTCTTCCCTTATCAACGGGGCTTTCATCATCACACAGGGTGGTAAATTCAGATGGAAGGATTAAAACTAAAATATCATCACAACCTGTCAAACCGGAAAAAATGCACACGAGGGTAAATATTGCACAGAATCAAGCAGAAAGTATCAAAATAGGTGGGATGAAGAACAGAAGGCCAACCCTGTAGAAACCTGCCAATCACGAATATCCTCACTTTTGGATAACGTTAGAGGCTCACTGGCTAAACTCTACAAAATATAAGCCGTTAACTCCGGGAAGAGACAAGTCACCCAGACGGCGGGGACCTCAGGAAGGGCACTTAGACCCATTTGCGAAGGGTGGGAGAGCCCAGTAAAACCTGCAGGGTTTGGGGTTCCAAGCTTACGGGTCACCCCACGCCCGTGGCCGGGTTCACAACCGCAGACGTGAGAGCGTCTGCAAGGTCGTTTGGGTGTTTGGAGACAGGGTACAGAATGAGCCCAAATACGACAAAAATCCGGTTGATAACATACAGTGACAAGAATGACAGGCTTGGGAGCGAGCACTCGGTTGTTCCTGAGTTATAATCTAACATTACAAATACGTGGATGAGTCGTGTTTCCATTCCTTTCTTTAAATGAACCACACACGCACGTGTACACGCAGACCCGTAAACCACACGAAGGACGCGGCGTGTAGCTTTGACCGTTGGTGACAGCTCTGGGATGTCAGCCGTCCCACCCACGCAATAATATTCCCGCCGCTCCCCACTGGGGGCAGCTGACCCCAGCTGCGGCACAGGAGGAAATCCCGGGACTCACCAGAAAATGTACCACGGGGCCGGGGGCCAGGAAGGGAGGAAGACGGGCCTGAACCACGGTGCAGCGTGAGGAAGGGGTTTGGCCTCCCCTCCAGGGGGGCTGCCAGCCCTGCTGGGCGGGATGGGTGCTCGCCCCCCAAGGTGGGCCCGGGCCGGGGGGGCTCGTGCTGGCCCCCCCAGAGGGTCTGCCCCACTCCCAGCTGCCGGGGAGACTCACCTTTGCAGGAAGGCTTTCTGGTGTGTGATGGGTTTTCCCGGAGACAGAGAGCCCGTCACCCTCTGCCGTGCGGGCCCGTGACTAGGCAATGGGGACTCCCGAAGGCGCCCGTGAGGTCAGGCTGCCCTCCCCAGACACGGCCCCAGGAGAGAGGTCGCTCTGCACCCCTGCTCCTCTCGGCCTCTCTGGGCGGAACGCCCCTCCTGTGGCACGCAGGCCCCCGTCTCTACCACTCTCGAGGCCCTGTCCCTGTGGCCCGTGGGCTGCACCAGCGGATGCCGCCCGGTGCGGGGACCCTGCCCCAGCACGCCCAACAGCTGTGGTGCCAGGGCGCAGGGAGCCCACCCTGTCGCCACCCCTTCCCGGGAGCCTTCCCTCCCCCAGCAGACCTCCGCCAAACCCTCCCAGGGCTGCAACGTCCCCCTATCTGCACGCGGCTCCGGGGAGCCGGCTGTTCCCCCACGCAGGCCCTTCCTCGTCTGGGGGGCGCAGAGGCTAATGCTGCGTCTGAGACCAGAGTCTGGGGTGCCCCCGGGCGGACTCAGAGGACGCCAACAGAGAAAGGGATGGAGGAGCACGAGAGCCCACTGGCCGCGGCAGAGGGGCTCCCTTCTGTGAGTGTCCAGCTGCCCTTCCCTGTCTCACGGGACCGAGCCTCACGCCTTCCCTGCTCCCGGCCTCGCTCGGGCCGCTCTGGAGCTGTCCTCTGCTCAACGCCAGCCGCCTGGGCGTCCGCCCCTCTGCTGCCCCTGCCCGGTCCCCCAGCCCTGCGTCCGGGGAGGTGGGCACCCCCGTATCCAAGCCACTGGCCGTCGCTCTAAGAAACGGACTGGCTTCCTGTGTGACTGAGGCCATAGGCCCTGAAGACAAACGGCGGCGACATGAGGTCCGCTGGTGGGCAGGACGACTGAATCTCAGACCACCCTCGAGGAAGGCTGGGAAAGCTGGCCGAACGGACGTCAGGGACGGAAGGCACGGCTCCGCGCCCTGGTCAGCTTCTGAGGCACAAAACCGCGCTGGGTGCCGGCCCGCACCTCAGCCACCCTCTCGCCCGGGGCTTCTCGGGGCTGACTGTAAGCAGAGGCGCGGGGGCAGGAGCGGCCCCCAGGCGGGCCGGGCACCACGCTGGCGGGACACCACCCCTGCCCCGCACGGCAGCCGCGGCCACTGGCCCAGGGGAGGGTGGGGGTGCTGTGCGCACGGCCCCAACCCTGAGCGGCTCAGGTGCACCTGCTGGCTGACGGGTCGTCAGCCACCCCACCGGGAGACGGCGGTGCGACCCCGGGACCCTACAGACGCAACCGAGAAAGAAGCACCAGCGTAAGTTGCAAACCCGCCCCGTCCTCCCCTCTTGTTTTTAACGCGTGGAGGGAAGGCTGTGGCCGCAGAAGCCTCGATCTGAACTCTAAGTAAAACCGGACTTGCTGACAGCCGTAGGAGACCATTGCCCAGAGGCTAGGGTTTGTTTCTCAATGACGGGCCTTCAGACAATGAGCTCCTTGTATCCTGCACTGTGATTTCATCGCTCACACCGATCTTCGATGTCAAGCGAAGGTCACTCCGCGTCTCTCCCCGTCTGTCCTGAGACCCCAGAAATCATCATTTCCTGAGCTCGACCCGGTCTGGAATGTTATCTCGAGGGGGATCCTGACCCAGAGACATCAAGAGTCATCATCTCCTTAGAAGGGAGGCTGTGTGGGGTGAGCACGGACTAGGACAGGGAGGCACGTGCCCTCATTCCCAAGGCTAGTTCTGTTTCAGCAACAAAGTGCTCCCTGCAGTTAGAGCTTTTCCCAAGAAATAGGTGGCATCCGAGCTGGGGCCCCGTTGGCACCGAGGGACATCCCCATGCTTCTGTTACCGACACTCATGTCTTGTTCTGATTAGAAGCTCCGAGGTCGTTACGGAGCAGAGCATTCTCCGTGTCCTGTCTGCGGTCTCCCCCAGAGCTGAGGCGCAGGACGGTGCACGGTATATTTCCCATGGACGTGCAGGCTCCGGGAGGCCCGGGAATGGCAACGGGACGCCTGTACCTCTCTGGTTTGGGGAGGAAGTGGGCTCAGTGACAGCCACTGCTGTGGGATGAGCAGCCTGGGGAGGTCCATGGGCCCAGGGCGCCCCACGGACATCGTTCTTCTAAGGACCAGGCCGTCAATCTAAACTGTGAAGTGCAGACAGCAGAGGAAGGGACCCATTACCAGGGGCAGGTTTTCAAGTTCATCAGCAACCAGGAATTAGGACTGCCGGAGGTGGGGAGGAACATCCAGGAAGGCCGCTCCGTGAGTGGACCGAGTACAGATGGGCACTTTGCTAAGATCGATGGAATGATCTGTGCCTCTCTCTCAACACTCCCAAACCTCCTACTCAACTTCAACAAAACAAAACCAGAAAAAAGAAAAGGAAAAAAAAAAGGAGAGAGAAAGAGGAACGGGCCGAGAGGCGGCTGCCCTGATGCGCTGACCACCACCAGCACCCGCGGCCCACTGTCCTTTCCGGGACATGGTCTGCACTCAGGTCAGCCCTCCGAGCCTGGTTCCCACGCCGTCACAGGGCCGGCGAGCCAAATGGCTCTGAGGCCCTCACAGTGTAGTCCTAGGGCTCGCATCCGGGACGGGGACACCCCGGTTCCTCACGTGTCCCCTTATTGTCTGTGGTAGGAAAAGAGGCCGTATCTCGATTGTCTTTTCTAAACCTGAGCTCCAGTCTGTCTTTTCAAAAGGAGTCTGTAAAACTCGGCGGTCCCTGTTCCATCTGAAGGGCCAACAGAGCTAATACCTCGTTAGCATCCTCCCTCGGTGACGTCGGCCGGGGTGCCGCCTGTCCCGGGTCAAACGCGGGCACAGGACGAGGGACAAGCCAGGGCTCAGACGACAGACAACGGCTTGCTCAGTGACAGAAGACACTGAACTCCCTGCGTGTCCCCGCCACAGTGACGGCTGGCCGTCAGCTTCCAAGGAACGTAAACTCACCTTGAAAATTTGCTGGGCCCTTCTCCATCCTCGTCATCAAAGTCCATCCTGAAAAGCCAAGAGCACAAGGAGACTCGTTACAGACAGAACATTTCCCGGGTGACCCAAGCTGCACCACCCAGGGGGCCTCGTCCAGTCGGACGGACGCGTCCCAGTCCCAACCCTCAGGAAACACCACCTCCCACAGTTGGCAAGCAGGCTGGGGACCAGAGGGGGCAGAGGAAGGGCCTCCGTGTGCGCGCCCTGCATTGTATGGTTGGGAACCTGAGCAACGGGGCTGTGGCCCTCGGGGCCCCACACAGGCCGCCGGCCGCTTGCTCAGTTCAACGTTCCATGTCCCCCCGCAACTCTGGGGGCTCCTGCCCCCCTCCACCTCGTTTATTCTGCACCGAGACTGCGTTCTGCACTTCATTTTGTGGCACATCGTCAGCAGGCTCAAAAAGCTCAAGGGGCTCAGAAAACAGGAAGCTTTAAGGGCGACAGACGGATTAGCACAGGGTGTGCGGCTTGAGAAGGTGGCCAGTCTGGATGAGGCAAAGTGGAAAGGGCGTTTCAGGCCACTGTCCCCGCAAGTCCAAGCCCAGACAAAGGCACGGGGACCGAGAAACAGTTACCTGGGACCTGAGCAACTCCAAGTACTCGTCTCCTTGTTGAAATTCACCAAAGACTCAGAACCCACTTTTCTGGGCCTCTCAGTGGAAACATAAAACTAAAAAGTCTTGATAGGTATTTGTTTAACTAATACCCCAAACTCTCCTTCTCGAAACACCAATCCCCTCTAAGGTCAATTAACATTACCCCTGAAGATGCTGGGGTCATTAATTAGTATTAACCGTAACCAGAATCTTCCAAGAACAAAGTGAGAAATAGTGCGGATGTCCTGGTTCTCCTGGACGTTCAGGGCGAGGGGGGCTGCTTGGGGAAAAACGCCCCAGAGCCAGGGCACTGCCCCATCCGTTCTTAGGGGGCCGGGGGGCCAAGCGAGGTGCAGTCCCCAGGACTCCCAGCAGAAGGGTGACGGGCCTGCCTGTAGCCAGGACGGAGAGCTCAGCACGGGACTAGAGGGTGTGCCGGCCTCGTAGGGAACAGGATCCCCACCCCCGGCTCTAGGTGAGCAGTGGTGGCTCAGGGAAGGAACAGGAGGCCCAGGCCACCGGGAACGGCCGGGTGCAGAGGCAGAGTCATCCCTGCACACGCGTGCACGCACGCACGCACACACACAGACACACGAGAGGTCCCTAACGAGGCAAATGGTCTTCTCTCGGCCGCGGGCTAACTCGGGGAACTTAGGGACTGGAATTAGGGCAAAGGAGTATTTTCTTCTTTACAATGGGATCATTCACTTATTTTTGTTTCGCGTTATATGCAGGGTGCCCAGAGTCCTAATCCGGGCATCCGTCTGTTTGGGACGACCTGAGGGGATCCAGTGAGATCCAACCTCATTTCCAGACACGTGGGCCACACTAGCTGCTAGGAACAGAAGAACAAAGGTGTCAGGTCAGAGCAGGGAGGGACGACAGCAAGATAACCAAAGCCCCGACGCACCCAGGGCAGGGCAGGCGGGGAGGAAACACAGTCAGGAAGGGAAGGAGAGGGAAAGACCGAGTCCACACCACTGTGGACACACACATAGCCAGGCACCAGGCCTCCGCTGCAGACTCGCCTGTGCTGTGGGCAAATGGGGGCCAGAGGCACGGCCTTCCGAATGGAGGAAAGCCATTGATATCCTGCATAATCACTCGGCCGCCACCTCACCTTTACCAGAAACGACAGCTGGGCAAGCCCACCCAAAATGCGGCTCCCGAGTTCCCGGAGTCACAGTGCCACCCAGCGCTCACCGCGGGAAGTGCCACGGTGCTGGCCACACGGAGAGGAGAGGACTTAACCCCGGGGACCGGCAGACGTTTCAGAGTTACGGAAAAGAAAGTGCATTTTCAAAATTCCTAAGGCCGCATGTCAGCATGTAGCAAAACCTCGAGTGAGTGTGAGATGTACGGTTATCTTTTTAAATGCCTGTTAGCACAAGTTGATAGGAGTGTGATAACCAGGCTCCTGCAAGATGCCACGTATTAGTCAGCGCCCCACCCCCACCCCCGGCCTCATCCTGCATGATTTTGGGGGTATTTAGGGTGACAAAGCATCCCGATTTTCCCGGACTAAGAGCAGTCCCAGGATGCAGGGCTTCGATGCTAAAATTGGGAAAATTCCAGGCCAACCAGGGTAGTTGGTCACCCTGGTTTTCGTAAAGACAGCTCCGTTCTTTGCCCGGACCCTGACAGCCCAGACAGGCAGGGACGTGAGCCATCTGGGCGGGCACATGGTCCCAGGTGAGGCCAGGTCAGCGGCGGCTCCATGGAGGGAGCCGAGGGCGTAAGGAAGGGACAGCCCTGCTCTGGAGCCGGAGTTTCCTGAGTCTGGGGGGAGCTCGGGAACCAGGATTTGTCTACAGAAAATTAGAGACCATGAAAGTATGCCTCCCCATCCATGCATATGTGATCACCCGTGTGCAGCGATCAGATTCCGTAATTCGGAAGAGCACGATGTGGGCGTGAGCCCAGAAGAGACTTCAGTCCAAAAATGACTGGTCAGATGCTCAGGGTAACTCCCTGACCACAAGAGTCTCACACTCCTGGGGACACAGGCTCCCCAGAGCAGCACTCCCCAGGACGCTGATCCCCTACTTTAAATGTGACTACCGGAGCTAGGCTTATTTCTTCTGCTATAAAAACTCTTAGTAAATCATCCTTTGTTTTATGTCTTTTATGTGCCTCTATTATACTGAAACATCTGGATAATAAAAGAGAGAAATCCAGATAGGACTCTGAAGTCCTACTGTATTCACTTTAAAGAATTCAGTATAATACGTGGATGATGCGAGAGTCTTCAAAGGATGGGCTGAAAATGCACCGCCTCACTTCCCTGTCAATGGGCAAGAATTCTTAGCTCAATAAAACGCCAGGAAAGCGTCTCTGAGCTTGCGATTAGTTCACAGTGCGTGATGTGTCCCCAGGACCGTGACCGTGTAGCAATCGTGCGTTATCAAAGGGGATTCACTCACACTCTTAGGAGAAGGGCAGGTCCCAGAGTGGCAGCACCGGAGGGCCCTGGGCCACCCGAGGCGCCTGCTAACAGCACTGAGATCCGGGAGGTCTCGACAGAAGGGAACAAGGTGACTCGCTTCACCTCATCTCTCCCACACATGTGGAATCACTTTTGAAAGAATCTCAAACTCCTGAACCTTCACCCTGTGTCCCGGCAGCCAGCAGGGCGCTCAGCTTGCTGACGGCTCCCAGGGAAGGCTCTCAGGAGGGGAAGAATGTTCAAGCCCGAGAGATCCACAGGGATGGGCCAGGCAGGCGGCCGGCGGATCCCAAACCTGCCAGGAGCCAGCTCTGTGGGGTGTGAAGCACCAGGAGGGATGGGATGCGCGGCTAGCCCCAGAAACCGGGTCAGGGACAGAGGGCAGGAAGGAGATCCTCGCCTCTTGCTGCTTCCCCTCCCTACCACCCGAGCCCCTCTCCCTTCCCCTCCCTCCCTCCATGTCTCTCCAGCGCCCCACAGGCTCAGGGAGGAGGCAAGGTGTTTGGGCTGCGGTCAGGTGTTATCAGGAGCAGACCAGCCGTGTAAGACACCAACTGCAAGAACTATTCTGGAAAGAGCCCTGTGCAAATGCACGTGTCCTTGCTTAGACGCCGAGGATAAGCCCCTAAGTCCCTGGGGTTTCGCAGAAGGAACCACGGTTCAGTTCCCATGCTCCCTCCCTGTGACAGGGAAAAGGAAACAGGCTCGGTCCCCTGAATGAAGACAGTGGGGGACAGGCCTCCCGTCAGTCTTAAAGGGCCCACGCCGTGTCTACACTGCTGGCCACCATGTGGGCAGTTGCTGTCCCTCCCCTTGAATCTCCCGTGTCTTTTCTTGATGTTTGACTTCTGTGGCTGGAGGCGGTATGACTTCCAGGCTCTGTCTCAGCCCGCTCCAGGTCCCCCCTCCGCCTCCAGTGCGTGTCGTGTGTGTGCGTGTGCGAGATCAGGTAGGGAAGGGACAGCTGGGGACGTCTTCAGAAAAGAGCTTGATCCATGGTCCAATCATCAGCCAGGTCGGCCAGTGGAAGTCAGGGCCTGGACGTGGGCTAGGGTCAGCTTCAGCCCCTGCAGCCCAGCCCTGCACACAGACCCCCCAGCACCATGCAGGAGGTGGGGGGCAGGAACGCCTAGCAGGGGCTCAGAACCGGCCCCCAGCACGGAGGGGCTGCTCGCCCTGCAAACAGGGGTTGGCCTGAGCATCTCTGCCTGTACCTGACGGCCCCCCACCTCCCTGTGCCAACCTTTCTGGAAACAGGAATGGGCCAGCCACAGGGCTCTGTCTCCCGGGAACAGAAGTGAGCGGCCACTGAGCTCCTTGTCTCAGCCTTTCCCACCCTCTCAGGATGAACCGAAAGCTGAGCCCCTCCTTTAAAGACCGTGCTGCACCCAGAGCAGTGTTCTCACACGATCGAGACCTGCAGCACTGAACATGCGGTCCATCCTGGCCGCGCTCCACTCCGGGCCAGACTGCACACCTGTCCCCCCCGCCCCTCCCAGAGTCCTGCTGGGTAGAGGGACCACAGGTCTGGAACACGGCCGGCCGGCACCGGGGCCCGCCCTGCAGGCCTGGGGCTGGGGCCCGTGCGTCCCCTGCTCCTGGGGAGCCCTGGGCTGTCAGGGATGGCAGTAAGGGGACAGGCTGATTCTACTTCATGAGAACCGTTATCAGCTAGCTCATTGAAAACCACACGGACTGGACGCGGAGAGGGGCGGGGTGTGAGAACGTCAGTCTCGATGTCCCTGCGGGCATCTGTTACTGGCTGGCGTGTTTGAGATCTCCGTCTGGAACTACAGGAACCTCACGCGTGAGGAGATGCGGTTTCGGGCCCATCAGCCCAAGGGCGCTGTCTCCGTGCCCCTCTCCCCCAGGGCATTGGCACGTACCACGGTCAGCAGCTTCACCAGCAAGGCAAGCACACGAGGCACATGCCTGGCCTTCAGCTGCGGGGCCGAAGGAGCCAAGGTTCTGAAAGTTCTAGCACACCACCCGGCAGAGACCGGCTGCCGCGGGGCTGGGGCTCAGGCCTGCAGTGCTGCCCTCAGGCTGGGGTGCTCCCAGAGGAGTACTCGTGAGCTCCCCCCGCCCAGAGATGGCCTGAGCAAGGCCCAGCAGGACCACGAGGCACCTCCCCACTGTGAGGCCAAGCAAACAGAAGGCCGCAGCTGGGCGCTGGGGCGGACACTCAGAGGCAAATCACATGCATACTTGGGGATCTTGCAAAATCTAAACAAACTGCTGAGCTTTTATTCTCCGGGAGGCAGAGAGACAGTATTCCCCTAACAGGTCAAGAGTGTTGCGCAACACGGATGAAGCCCGATTCCTGGAAACGCTGGGTCTGCTTACCCAGAACGCCGCTTTCCTCCACGGGCCGGCATGGCCCCGGTCATCCTCACCTGTCCGGTGGCCGCCATGGGGGCCACGGGCAAGGTCACCGATCCAGGGATGTCGGAAGCCATTTCTGGAATGCAGCAAAGAAGAGAGGTTTGATCAATGCCAGGAACAAGCAAGACAGTTGTCCAGTGGTCCCAGAAGCATCAGGTGTAAGGAGATCCCAAGGCCCTGGGGCCACTCGGCCCACGTCAGTTATGTGGCTCAGGTGAGCCCTTTCCCCGGCTGGGCTCCGCCTTTTTCCTTTGGAACAGGCCCCCTATCCCAGGCAGTGTCCCCCAGGCAGGACCCCTATCCAAGGCAGGACCCCTCTTCCAGGCAGTGCCTCCCAGGCAGGACCCCCCCAGGCAGGACCCCTCTCCCAGGCAGGGCCCCCCAGGCAGGACCCCCCCAGGCAGGACACCCCAGGCAGGACCCCTCTCCCAGGCAGGACACCCCCAGGCAGGACACCCCAGGCAGGACCCCCCCCCAGGCAGGACCCCTCTCCCAGGCAGGACCCCCATCCAGGCAGGACCCCTATCTCAGGCAGGACACCCCCAGGCAGGACCCTCCAGGCAGGCCCCCCATCCAAGGCAGGCCCCCCCAGGCAGGCCACCTATCCCAGGCAGGACACCCCCAGGCAGGACCCTCCAGGCAGGCCCCCCATCCAAGGCAGGCCCCCCATCCCAGGCAGGACCCCCATGGTGGTTAAAGAGAGCACGGATCTGCAGCTTCCATAAGGGACTCCGGGTCACCTGGCGGCAGGTAAGACCTCCACGGACCCAGGCAGCGTGGCCAGAGCCTGAGCAACCATGGTCATCGACGGAGCGAAGCCACGGGGTCAGGCTGGGGCCCCCGATGCTCTGCCCCCACCCTGGGCCCTTGTCTGCAGGTGCAAAGGCTGCCCCCACCCTGACTCTGGACTCAGAGCCCTGACTACAGGGCCCCGCAGGGCCCCACCGTGCGTGACGAGGACGGGGGCATCAGTACAGTCTGTGCGGTGGCCCGTCCGAGGTGCCCCGGCTCTCCACAGCCAGCCTCCCCGGGACCCAGGTTAATTCCAAGAACAAGCAGGTGTGGGGCTAGAGGATGGCGCCCTTCCTGTGCACCGCCATCCTAAGGCATTATTTCTTACGAGCTAGATGCCTCTGTAAGCTCGCTCAGGCAAGGTCAAGCAGTCCCAGTTTCAGAGTAAAACCACCCAGTTCAAGAGTTTCTTCTTCCTACTCTGTGGAGGGTTCCTCAACTCTGGCACCCTTTCCTCAGAATATTAAATAGCAAAATAAATATTCAAGCGTCCTGACTCCACTTCTTGTTCTTGAGGGGAACTCCCACAGCACTCACCTGTCCCAGCTCAGCAGGCACGCAATGGTCCACAAAAATGTATTTCTAGAAGACAGGTTGGGCTAAACACGGGAATTTGGGCCCTCGTCAGGCGTACGGGCGGTGCTCACATGGGGCGGGTCTCTGCCCTCTGCCTCCTTCCAGAAACCAGGGAGGCACCACGCAAATACCCCGCATTACATCCGAAGACATCGTGTTTAATAAACACGTTCTAAGGGGCGCCTGGGTGGCTCAGTTGGTTAAGCGACTGCCTTCGGCTCAGGTCATGATCCTGGAGTCCCGGGATCGAGTCCTGCATCGGGCTCCCTGCTCGGCAGGGAGTCTGCTTCTCCCTCTGACCCTCCTCCCTCTCATGCTCTCTCTCTCTCATTCTCTGTCTCTCAAATAAATAAATAAAATCTTTAAAAAAATTTTTTTTAATTAAAAAAAAATACGTTCTAAGATCAACTCAAACTCTTCCACTGAAAACTTCTGAAGGAGAATTTTCTAATACTAACAAACAACATCTTAATTTAGCCGTTCTACTCTGTTCACAGGAATTGGAGAGCTGTTACAGTTGATGAGTTTTTTTTGACCTAACGTACACAAGGAAGAAAATCCCTTTATTAAAGTAAACCTCTCCCCTTTCAGCAGTTACTGTACGGGATGTGCAGGGGGGGGGACCCCGTAACCGCACCATCTGCTGATAAGAAATCTGTATATTTTTTTTTGAAATGGAAACCGAAACAGATTAAGCCCATTAAGGCCCCCAAACTGAGGGTAGAGCAGCTGCCAGCACAAACAGGGGTGAAAACAAAAGTCACCACTTCCCAAAACAAGCCACGAGAACGTCAGTCCCTTAAGATTCTCCGAGAAAGACTGGGTGATAGACACTGGGGAGGGTATGTGCTCTGGTAAGCGCTGTGAATTGTGCAAGACTGTTGAATCTCAGATCTGTACCTCTGAAACAAATAATGCAATATATGTTAAGAAAAAAAAAAAGAAGAAGATAGCAGGAGGGGAAGAATGAAGGGGGGGAAAACGGAGGGGGAGACGAACCATGAGAGATGATGGACTCTGAAAAACAAACTGAGGGTCCTAGAGGGGAGGGGGGTGGGAGGATGGGTTAGGCTGGTGATGGGTATTGAGGAGGGCACGTTCTGCATGGAGCACTGGGTGTTATGCACAAACAATGAATCATGGAACACTTCATCTAAAACTAATGATGTAATGTATGGGGATTAACATAAGAATAAATAAAAAAAAATTAAAAAAAAAAAAAAGATTCTCCGAGAAAAAGGGTCCCACGGTTAAGCAAGGTAGGAAAAGCCACACACTTATCCCCTGCTTGGACATTCCACTGTCCTTTAAAAACGTACTGAGAAGTCCTGTATCAGGAAGTCTGTTTAGCTTTGATTAGACCAGCATATCATAAAAGGGCGGGGGGAGGCAGGGGGACAATGTGTAGTTTGGACAAAATGATAGTCATCCAATTTTATTTCGGGAAAACAGAATTACTGATCGTTTTGAAATACAAGTTACAGAAAGTAAAGCTCCATGAAACCCGGCTACGGGACGAGGGCTCAGGAGCATCTGCTGTCTAATCCTTTCCTTGGACAACTGCCCACGCTTGGCCAGGGCCCGGCACGTCAGCATCCTATCTGTTCCCCTGGATGCTCCGCGCGGGTCGGCCTCCGCTGCCCAGCAGAAGGGCCTCTGTGTGAGGGCAGACCCACACCAGCCTGCCTCCAAGGACCCCACTGGGCACACCCCAGAGCCCTCCACGCCTGTGCAGGATAGTAGAGCCAGCTGACGGTGGACACCAGCAGCCTCCACCGTGGGGACACGGTGTCCTCATGGAGGTGACGGGGCAGGTGGGTGTGCTGAGACAGCCCAAATCTTCACGGGCAACGTGCACCTGTCATAAAGCCAGAGTGCTTCGGCCTGGGCAGGGGGCGGAGGGCAGAGCCAGTGAGCCCTACACACAAGTGCGTCGCGTCACGATGTGAAGATGCGAGGCTCCCACCCGTCCAGCTGTAACACGAAGGCCGTGGTGGCCCACCACCTGCACGCCAGCACCAGGCATTCAGGAAAGTTCTGTCCTCCCAAGATGCAGCGTTTCTTCCTCATCTGTTTGTACAACCTCCTTTCGTGATAAAGAGAGTAGAGCTTTGTCGTATGCCCTGAAAATATTTTACAGTATTTTTTTCCAGTCTGTCACTTGCTTTTTAGGTTGAGAGATTTTTTTAATACCAGCGAAAGCTTTAAGAGGTAGAGTCTGAAGAAGATGCGTTGGTCAGCTCCAGCCGCTGTAACAAAATACCGCTGACCAGGCGCTTAAGACAGCAAGACTTCTGTTTTCTCAGGGTTTGGGGACTGGGAAGTCCAAGATCAAGGTGCCAGCCAATTCAGTTCTCGGCGGCAACCCCCTCCCTGGTCTATGGACAGCCACCTCCTCTTCGTGGCCTTGCATGTCCTCCTCTCAAAGGGCCACCAAGCCTAGGGCTCCATTCTCATGACCTCACTTCTCCTTAATTACCACCTAAAAGCTCTATCTCCAAATTCAGTCACATTGGGGGTCAGGGCATCAACACTGGAATTTTGGGAGACACAATTCAGTCCCCAGCAGAAGAAAAGGTCAATTGTCCCAACCTCAGTTCATTCAGGAATCCTTCTTCTACCCGTGAGTGCTGTGATGCGCCCTCTATCCTACGCTGTATTTACCACAGAACATCGGTCTGCCTCTAGCCCATCCATTTCTCCGCCAGTTACCTAGCTGTCTGTGTTTGCTCTCGCTGCACCATCATAACGTACCTAGTGATGGACCTCCTCCCACTGTTCTTACCGTCGCCCACAATTACCTCTATCCTTTCTGGCTTATTCTTCCATTTAAATTCCAGAATACTGGGGCGCCTGGGTGGCTCAGTGGGTTCAGCTTCTTTCTGACTCTCGTTTTGGCTCAGGTCGTGATCTCAGGGTCATGAGATCGAGCCCCAGCCCCACAACTGGCTCTGCACTCAGGGCTCAGCTCAGAGTCAGCTTGAGATTCTTTCCCCCTCCCACTCCCTGCCCCCCTCCTCCTCCCCACCCCCACGCAGCGAGGGAGCTGTTTGCCCTCCCCACCCTCGCTGTTTTGCAGGTTGCCCTTTCAAAATGCACATGCCTTGTTCAAGAGTTTCTAGGGTCACCATCCTGTGTCCTACCATTCCACCAAATTCTCTAATTTGTCCTAATCATTTTTTGTTAATTCTTGTGAACTTTCTAAGTTCACACAGCCTGTGGACTCCAAATAAGGATACTATGTTCTCATTTCTAACACTGAAATGTTTAATTTCTTTTTCATGTCTTATTTCATTAGCCAGAACTTCAGAACAATATTTAGTAATAATGGCCTAAACCTGGGCAACACAAGACCATGGGCTTTGCCGTCCAACAGGCCTGATGTTGAATCACAACTCAACACTTCCCAGCTATGAGAGTGACGAGGCCACCCCTGGTCAAAGTGTCATGACAATCTACTTTGAAGGGTCATTTTAAAAATTAAGAGCCTAACACAGTGTCTGGGGGAAAAAAATGCCACTCAAGAAACAATGATTAAAATGATCATAATTGTGGTGCTGGTGAACAACCTTGCTTGGTCCCTGAATTTAAGTGGAATGACCAGCTTGTTCAAGACAGACATACTTGTTTAACATAAGGAAATCTGCTCCTATCCCTATTTTTTAAGGTTTATTTCAGGAATAGATGTCTCATTTTATCAAATGCCATTTTGGTCACTAAAATGGTGTTTTAGATACCACATTAGCCAAATGAAGTTGCAATCAGTGAGATTAAAATTCACTCTAAAGGTTAAACTTCAGTATCTTTCAGGAGCCACCCTCAGTGCATTCAAATAAATAACATTACAAAACCGTGTTTCTCTCCTAACTATGCCTGAATCCACCCATGGGATCACCTGTCAGGCTTCCTTGGAAAAGTGAATAACTGCTCCCCAAATCTGGAAACTTTCCTATATGACTTGAATAGAAGTGACCATAGCTCCTGGGATGTCCACTCAGGAAAGGTGGGTGGAGGAAGGTCTTGCACCAGGTCAGAGGTGAGGGTCTCCAAGGCAGGGCTTAAAGTCGCCCTGTAAGCACTCTATAGATTTGCTCTAGGATTTCTGAATTTCACTCCAAAATGAAGAAAAGTGGAACCTGAGCACGGCACTGGGCAGAGGGGAAACCACGGCCACAGCCCTACCCTGCCCCGAAAACGACGCTTGGCACAAAGTATAAGCTCATTTAAATGTGGCCAAAGTCAACAAACACACAAATGCTAACAAAACTTGCATTTTCTTACTGTAAGGAATTAAGTTACTTCTGTGATTTTATTTTTCTGTGCTGGGCCACCAAAGGCGGTCCAGCGCTCTAAAAGTCCTTCCTAATTGCTCAGCAGCCCCGCTCACAACACGGTCACTGAGTGAGGCCGTTGCAAAGGGCCGAGAAGAGGGGGAGCACAGATGGGGCTCCGCTCCTAGGCAGACCTCGAGCTGCCGCCCTGCACAACATGGGGCCTTTAAACTACTGGGGACCCAAGCACCACTGCAGGGGGTCTGCAGACAGGCCCTGAGCATGCTGCCCCCGACCTCCCCGACCTCCGCCCTGCCCAGGCCCCCACAGGGCTTCACACAGAGGCACCCACGTGAGCCCCGCCCCGAGCCTGACATGGACACAGCCCACGGAGAGCCTCTGTGAGCAGGTGCATGGGTACACGGCCCCATGTGCCTGCAAGAGGGTGGAGGCCGGCCCGTGGGGCTCGGAAGTCCTGGACCCCAGTTCCCTGGGTCAACCCCAGCAGACGCCACAGGGGAGGGTCACGGTCCTCACCCTGACCTTCCCATGCCGTTGAGGGCTGACCACATGGAAAAGAGAGAGGCGTCCAGCACAGCACAGAATCATGAGCGCATTCTACTGACAGAACATCACACAGCAACATTTAAATCGAGGTTAAAAACAGATGAGGGATTTTCAACTGTACAAACGAAAGTTGGTCACATGGTGAAGTCACCTGCTCCCCGTGTGTCTCACCCTGAGGCCTCCTGGCCTCCCGCGCAGCCCTCCACAGTCAGACCTCTGTCCCCGTCACCCCACTAGAGAGCTGCCCATCACAGGGTCCCTTCCCTGCCTGACCCTCTCTGGGGGTGTTGCCCCCCCCACCCGCCCACCTCTCTCCTGGGCTTGCAGGGGCCACATCGCCCCTCCCACTCATGGGCCCCACCTTCTTGGCCTCCTCTGGGCCCCCTCCGCGCATCCCCACCTCTCCTCTCCCCAGGGCGTCTCATTCAGGAGTGTGGCCACGATCCCACATGCAGCCATCAGATCCTGCTGTTACCCCCTTAAGGTCTCTCCATCCCTGGGTTCTGCTGCTGGTCTGCCTCAGGACCTCCACCCTTGACCTCCCCGCATCTACTCTCCCCCATCCAGCCTCATGGAAGCCAGATCTGCCAAGGCCAGCCCTTGCTTCTATGCTCCAGTGGCCTCTCTTTGCTCTTGGCACACATGTGGAGCTCCCTGCCACGATCAGCCCGACCCCATGTGGTCAGGCTGTTGTCCACGCCTCCAGCACACCTCCTGAGCTCTGGCCACACTGCTCTATCAGCTTCTTGAACGTACCACATTCCTGCCCACCCCGGGGCCTTTGCACATGCTATGTCCCGGGGGAGGAAAGCTCTCCTCCCTTCTCCACCAAGCTAACTCCTAACATCATTCAGTTCAGCTCCAACATTACTTTCCCAGGGAATTCTGTCCCTGGTAGTCCCTTCCCCACCCAGTCGAGGTCTGGTCCCCCGTGGTTCACTCTTACCGTCCCTGTACTTCTCCTGCAAAGCCAGGAAGGTCGAGCCGTCCAGGTGAAAGATGGCAGGGCCTGAGCGACGGAATCACAAAGAGGGCATTCAGGAGGAAAGAGATGATGTCAATGCCTCAAAATACTCCATGTGTCACCGTCAGCACCCAGAAAGGGAAGATTCTAAAAAGCCTTGATCACCTGATCCTCCTACACTGAGACTGGATGGGGCAAAAAATTTCTGGAGGAGGAAGAAAAATATGGTTGGGTGGCTTGCGTATTTACATCCGCCACGCCACACGCCTGGCCCGTGGGGACTCTGCGGCCAGGTGCAGGCACGCGGATCCACCCCTCCCTCCGTCCACTGACTCAGAGGGCTGGCTCCCCCATGTGTGACTCTGTTTCTCCACCTATTCTCCCACTAAGAAACGGGGTTAATCTGGACATTGCTTCCTTTTGCAGAGGCAGCTGTAAGAAAATGGGACCCCGTTTCCATCACAAACAGCACTTGCAAAGCTCCGATTTTGAGCCCGGAGCTGTGGTAGAAGGCAGGTGGAGTCAGAGATGCAGAGAGCCCCTCCTGCCTCCGGTGGAGACACACCGCCAGGCAATCTCCTAGTCAGAGCTGCACGCTGTGCTAAGTGGCTGGACACCACGTTGTGGGAATGAGCAGGAGGAGCCAGGAAGGCTTCCTGGAGGAGGCCACATCTGTGCCATCCTGGCAATGAAAATGCTCTGGGAGGAATGAAGCAGGACATAAAAGGTGTCCTTGTCCTAAATGGATTCCTTTGATTGCTGCCCAGTGTCTGGGCAGCCCCACCCAGCCCCACCCTTGAGGAGCATGTCCCCCACCCCATGTCCAGTCCCCGGAGCTTCCTCCAACGCCTACGGGATCTAGAATTATTCCCCCGCCTCAAAAGCAGCCCTTACACCTAGACCTCTGTGCCGGGTCCCAGGTCACGACCAACGGCAAACGTACAAGCAGGCAGAAATACCCCTCTCCTCAGCAGTCTGCCTCCAAACGCAGATGCCCCCCCGTCCCCCACCCCCCCGGGGAAGCACTGTTCCCCGTTACGCACACGGGCAAAATGACCGCCTGCCTCATGCAAAGTTGCAGTGAGGTTTCTGGCTCATTTTAACACCAGTACAAGCTGAGGGTTTGAAAGCTTCGCCATAACACAGGAAAACATAGCTGGCTTGTGATGTAGCATCTCGCTCGAGACCATCTCCCACTTCAAATGCAGACATATTGTGTAGGATTCCTCCAATACAGCACAGACAGCGAAAACGGGGGGAAATGGGAACGCAAGAGCATTCCAGATACAAGGAACATGAGGAAGTGAGAGACATTTCGTCACCCCCCAACTATTTCATGGGAATCTCAGTAAGAAAAACACCCCTCGATCTTCACATTGGGAGAAAAAAAAATCAATTACATGCAAACTTTCATGACACAACAACACGATGTTTTAATGATAATTCCAACAGACGACAAACCAGAAGGGTCTCTCCGCGGGTGGGGGGGCGGTGAGGGGAGGCAGCTAAGCAAAGAAAAACGCTCTCCCCAACAGCCATCTCTCTTAGAACAATTCTTTCCACCGAAAGCACACCAAATACCACAGCCCTACCTTTTCAGAGGGATTAAACAAAGATCTTTCTTCCTTGTGACCAACACCTTCTTAGGAGAATCTGTTATCCGTATAGAAGAAATGTCAGGAACCTCTGGGAGGAAATGAGCTGCATTTGTATTCTGCTCAGAAAATGTCATCACAGATCTGTTTACCTTAACTGTGGACCATGATTCAGCCGTGACAACTGTCTTGCATACTGATCAATTTATTTGCAGCAAAATTTCTAACATTAACTGCTTAGGTTCTGAAAAATCGGGGACTTGAATTTCTTGTGCAACCACAATCTACGTCTGAAATGTCTAGACTGTTATTAACACATCTCAGGGGGGAGATCAGAAAGGATTCCTCCTGACAGAGAGCAAGGGAGGGTCCCTTCCGCTTCTGGAAGGAAGGCAGGGCACACGGTTCCCCAAGGCCCTCCGTGGGGTGGGATTTCTATAGCACGATGTACAGAAAAATCATGAGACTGAGGGCCAGGGGGACTGTAACCCCAGGTCCTTGCTACATTTTAACCAGCCCCGTATCCTCTGAAAGGCAGCTCCGTCCGACAGGCAGGCTGGGTCTCTGCAGCAGGGCGGCAGGCGGCCGACCCAGGAAGAGGCCAGGCCCTGCCTCCACCCGCTGGTGCCTTCAGCCTCCAGCCCGGACACCGGGCATCTGGCTGTGGGCCCAAGCCACTCCCAGCCGACAGGCAGGTTTTAGCATTAGAGAACCAGAACTAGTCCCGAGGCGGCCCCCTGAGATGCCCCCCGCCTCAGCTAACGAGGCCGCCGAGGCACAGCCCTGCTCCCCAGGCTGCCCTAGGCATGCATGGTGCCCTCTGGAATGTGGGCGCTGCACCACAGCCCACTCAGGGGTCCACACCCATACTGCCACTAGAGTCCACGCCCACCCTGCCGCCTGAAGTCCCAGCATCCCTGCCCTGAGGATGGAAAACAGGGACTCAGCAAGAAGACAGGCAAGCAGTAATTCCAGCAGAAGAAGGGTAAGGGAGGTTACCCCTGAGATTATGACTCTGGAGCAAGACAATGAGAGCAAACTCCACACCCAGCCCGCCCCCTCCGTGAGAGACGACAAACCACCCCCACGGGGTGAACCACGAAGGGACACCCACCCACCATCTGTCTCAGGCTTGAGTCCAATCCAACGGCCAGAGACCATCCCAGGAAAGTGGGTCTCAGCAGCCATGCAGAAGACGGGCCGAGCACCTGCAGTGAAGTCTCGGGGTCTGGCTGCCCCTAAGAAGGGCTTCCCGGGGCCCTGGCTGAGACCCCACGGTGACCCACCGGGGCCTGAGTCTTCAGGACCGGAGCATGGCAGCAGGGCTGACCCCACAGGAGAAACAGCAGAGCCTGGGCTGCTGGTGGAGAGTCTGCAGGGGGCTCTGACTCGCAGACTGGAAAGTACTAGAAAGGCCACGGGATGGTGAAGAGCTCAAATGCTGTGCGGAGGAGAGTCTGCGGACCAGACAAGACCTGTCTTCCAAAGGAGTCCTTGAGGCAGGAGGGACGACAGTGCCCTGAGTCTGTGGCGGACCCTCCTGGGTGAAAGGGAAGTGGGCCGCTCTTGATCCCTGCAGGGGCCTCTGCGTGGCGGCGGGGCTACGAGGGGTGAGGCGTCAGCCACCCAAATACAGTGGGAAGTCGGGCAGAAACCAAATACACTAAAATGTCTGGAGTAAAGCGAGGAGCTGATAGAGGATGAACAGTCACCCAGAGAAAAATCACTCAGCCGTTAACGATCACGATGGCAGGAGTAACGTTGCAGGAAAACACTCAGGGCACAGAATCTCGCATGCAAACAGGTCTCTGCCGAGGGTCCACCGGAGTTCAGCTCCAGCCACACTGCCTGCCCTAAACCTTCAATTTGGCCCTGGCTTCTGCACCAATGCCTGGGCCTTGGAAAGGACAGCCTTTGGGATCCCCCTGCAGGACCGCCCCCAGCACCCCGGCACTGGTAGGCGATCTGGGAGCACCGATCACACGGGGCACTGTGGGTGGCATCTGGACTCGCAGTCCCCACCATCGATGCTCCCAACAAGGCGTGCCACATGCGCTCACCCTTCAAGCCTGAATACTCACTTCCAACCGTCAATGTGCACTCTACATGAACTAACCTGAAGACCTTGGGCGCAGCATTTGTCCCCATTCTCCCAATCAGATGGTTGACAAATGCATTGTTGCAGGAGTAAAATGTACGATCATCCACGGCCATATGGTGAAAGCTATAAATTTCATGCGCAAAACCAATTATTAAGAACTTTCGAATACTTAAATGTAAAAGGGAAGATGGAAATAACAAATATCGAGGGAACGCCTTTGCTTGCTGTCTGTCGCAAGACCGTTCTATCCTCCTGGAACCGACATGTGCACAGAACCAGAGATGAAGATGCCAAGCAGAATAAAAGGGATTATCGCAGTATATTGTAGCGAATACCTCTGTGGAACTACTTGTTCTGGCCTTCGTGATAATAAACAACTATCACCATTTAAACAATTTTTTTTTAAATTTCTGTTTAGGTCACGTGACTTTCAAGAAAAAGTCCTCTTTGGAAGTTTTTGTGTCTTTGTAAGGATGATGTGATAACCAACTCTGTCAACTTTACTACCTCAAGAATGCACACGGGGGCCTTCAGAGCGAGGCACCCCAGGACAATCTACAGGAACTCACTGTCAATCCAGACACAATGCAGAAAACAAAGGGACCAAGGAAAGGGAGGAAACGGAGACGTGAGGGAAACACGGAGGACCCCCAACACAGCATCCCTCCACCAGGCTCCACTGCGAGCGGACATGGGTTTGGTCCGATGGACGAGCCGCCATGCAAGAGTACAAGGCAGCCTGGCCATGGACGGAGGTGGACAGACGCGGGCGGAGCTGGACAGACAGGGACGGGGCTGGACAGACGCGGGCAGAGCTGGACATGGATGGAGCTGGACAGACGCGGGCGGAGCTGGACAGACAGGGACGGGGCTGGACAGACGCGGACGGAGCTGGACATGGACGGAGCTGGACAGACAGGGATGGGGCTGGACAGACGTGGACGGAGCTGGACATGGACGGAGCTGGACAGACAGGGATGGAGCTGGACAGACAGGGACGGGCTGGACAGACGTGGACGGAGCTGGACAGACAGGGACGGGGCTGGACAGACGCGGGCGGAGCTGGACAGACATGGACGGAGCTGGACAGATGCGGGCGGAGCTGGACAGACATGGACGGGGCTGGACAGACGCGGACGGAGCTGGACATGGATGGAGCTGGACAGACGTGGGCGGAGCTGGACAGACGTGGACGGAGCTGGACAGACAGGGACGGAGCTGGACAGACGCAGACGGAGCTGGACAGACGTGGACGGAGCTGGACAGACGCAGGCGGAGCTGGACAGACGGCCGACGACGAACTTCTGGCACGTGATGGCCACGAAATGGTAACAAGCGGCAATGACACC